CACAAGCACACATAAGCAACACATTTCTGATTTCTACGTGATTCATGCACTCAGTGAGGTTGAGTACGGTGCAGGTCTGTTTTTTAGGCTACACGTGTGGTCCTGTGAAAATGTCGCGTTTTGAGGCTGATTGTAACCTTAGCAATCCCGGACGAGCCCCCATTGGTCACAAAGTGCATCAAGGACAGAAAGCAGGGTAAGCAGAGACTCCACACATGAAGTCAGCAAACTGAGTGATGCAAGGAAAGAGAGGATGTCTTTATGTGCTACAGGACTGTTGAAGGTAAAGTGCAAGACATGTTAAAGTTTGGATTACTCTTCTGTTACATTCTTTTGTTGCACACACGTACTTGTGTAGCATTTCCTGTAGGATTTGGAGAAGTGTTGAGAACAACTGAAACTGAGCACATCAGGAATCAGGCTTCAGTTAGCTGTCAGGATACTGGCTGGAAAGTGTTTGGTGGTCCCTCCCTTTGTGCTGCGCAGCCGGGACGACGACCTACAACGCACAACCTTTTGTTCTATATGGTTACACGTAAATCACTTCATGTATTTAACTGGGATTATGTGCATGCAGTCAAAATAGCAAATCTAAGAAGGGAGGTTTAAAAAGGTTGGGCCCCGGCAAGACTTGCCCGGGGTTGGTGGGCTTTCGTACCCTTTTAAACCTTCCGTTTGTTTTCGGGGACCCCTTTTTTGACCGTTTTTTGGGGTTGCTGTTTTTTCCCGGCTTGGGTTCCAACCGGTTTTCCCGGAACTTGTTTCGGGAATTTTGGGTATTTCAGAATAATTTCTATTGTAATTTACTGTCCACCAGCTGATGATTAGATTGAACCTTCTCATTCCTTAACTGTGTGTTAAAGAAGAAAAACACAAGAAGCATTTCTCTTTCTAAGAAAAGGGAACTGGACAGTTTTTGTATCACAGCAAGTTTCAGAAAACAAACTTCAAGTTTCCAGGTTTAAATTCTCAGATTCAAACATGCAGGCATGATAAAAATAAACGGTGATTTCCAGAAGTTTAACATATTCATTTTAATACTGAAGAGGCCTTTGTTCCTCTCAGCCTGCTCTGATAATGCTGAAATAATAATGTAGTGCAGTCAGCTCACTGATGAAACGAGCGATGGAGCATTTCATATTCCATTATGAGGCAAACATAAGTGAGCACCGTCCTCGTGCTTGTTATAGTGCGAAAGTGCTCACACTCACTATTCGGACTAAATATGAACGTACATATTGTGCTGCATGAGCCAACAGCAGGTCCAGCTGCGCTGCATTAAACCACTGAGGAGGAAGATGCCTCACTGGTTAATTTAAATCAATTACAATTCAGTTTTATTTATATGGCACCAAAATCACAACAATAGTCACCTGAAGGCGCTTTATTTTGTAAGGTAACGATTCTACAGCAATACAATATTATATTAATACTTATATATGTTTTAAATATATTTTATCTGAGCTAATGTTTAATAAAAGTTTAACTTAATAGTGATGAGACCTGAGCAGGCTGAGCCTTCTTCATGCATCCCTTTGTGCACTGGGCACAGTTACAGTCAATCACAAACTGACCGGATTTAAAGGAGAACGACCAAAGTTATGAATATTTATTCTCAGAGTTTCCGATGTTTGTTTGTTCACAGGCCGACACAGTGCTGTATAGAGCGGTGCTGTATAGAGCGGTGCTGTATAGAGCGGTGCTGTATAGAGCGGTGCTGTATAGAGCGGTGCTGTATAGAGCGGTGCTGTATAGAGCAGTGCTGTATAGAGCAGTGCTGTATAGAGCAGTGCTGTATAGAGCGGTGCTGTATAGAGCAGTGCTGTATAGAGCAGTGCTGTATAGAGCGGTGCTGCTACACGGCTGAACCGCAGTGAAAGTGTGAACACCATCCAAACTGCTCTTCAGACAGAAACCAGGGTATTTCCAGATTCCCCCTCTTTCATTTTCATCTCCTGATCTCCTTCTGCTCAGAAAATTGAGTTTCCTCTCAAGCAGACAGCAGGCCCATTATCTCCTCCACCTCCTGCAGCTTCAGTTTGTCCCCTCCTCCCCCCGACTTCCATAGCCTTCCTCCATTTTCATGTCCTCTATTGCTTAATTCGCTTAACCTGCAAGTGTGTGTGTGTGTGTGTGTGTGTGTGTGGGTGTGTGGGTGTGTGTGCATGCGTCTGAGAGCTGATGGTTAAGAGTCAAAGATCAATACAACAGATGAGGATCATTCCCTCTCATGTCCTTGTCTCATGTCTGGCATTGTCTGGGACTTGTCATTAAAACACACACACACACACACACACACACACACACACACACACACACACACACACACACAGGCTTTCTGTGTGGATACTGTTTACTGTAATTGTGACTCAACCTCTCAATACAGAACACCAACAAACTGCTGCACATGTGCACACACACACACACACACACACACACACACACACACACGCACTGGGATTAAAGACGACCTGTCATCTGAAGTGTGAGGCTGAAGTGCAACAGAGAGAATGATGTCAGAATTAAAGAACAGCAGAAGCTGAGGAGCAGCACTGATGTGATCGAAGGAAAAAGTGAAAAGATGAATAAAGGTTAAAGTTTTATTTTATTACAATAAATCCTGTAAGTCAATCAGACCGTCAGGATTATGAATTCTGCGTTTGCTGAAGCCCTTACTGTTTTTTACTGTTTTGAACAATGGCACGAACATGTCTATTCGCAGAAGAGTGGCATGTCTGAGCTCATAACATGCTCAGAATCAAAAAAGCCTGTCACTTGTTCATTAATTATTTTGAGTCAGTGGTTTTTTGTGACTTTAGACAGTGTCTACAAACTGTGGACCCTCTTTGTACCTCTGAGCTCTGCTGATGCCATTCTTGAGATTCCAGAGAACCAATGGAAGACATTTTTATGTGCTGATATCATAATCTCAAATCTGCGACAGAGCAGGATACATCTGCAGCACGAATTACCACGGTGATGTTTCCATAAACAGGACAACCACGCACACTGAAAACAAGTGAGTGTGAAAAGAGGCAGCACAACTTCCTGCTCACTCTTTTTGGTTTCCAGTTGATCAGGATAGATCAGATACAGCTGAGGGAAGAGCACAAACGCATGATGAACCCTGAACCTGGGCTATGAGAAGCTCTGATGCCATAAAAACATTCTGAGAAATAACAAGAGTAATCTGTTTTTGAAATGATTATTTTACTGGAGACTGTGAGCAGATTGTACCACTGCTGCTGCCTGTTTCCACGTGAGCAAAGGTTATTCACTCTTTGCTGGGCCTCGTCCTTTAGATGTCACAGTGAACAGTGCCATCTGGTGGTAAGTTAAAGCACTGCACACAGTGTGACACACTGGTTGCACCCAACACGTCCCGATATTACGACATCGGAAAAATTAGGAAACATGAGAAATGAATGTACACATGTACGTTCGCTTTACTTAAATCACTTTGGGAAACTATCTAACGTCATCAAAGCGCTGGTTAAAGTGGGAAAGCGTCATTACTGGACTTCATCCATAACCCAGCGCGTAGCGTAAGAACGCAGACGATCACCTTCCGTGTTCCTCACGAACACCGAGGGACTTGACAGATCGTAGTACACCTCGGAGTGAGAGCGGGCGTCTCAAATGATAAAACCCAGAATTAGATTTCTTCCTTTCTTAGAAATACAGTAAAAACATCTTCTGTTGTAAAAATCTCATCAACTTTCTAAAGTGTTTTCTTTTCGGGGCAGCACATCACACTGATGTAGCCACAGAGAATCACCAGCCTCCATCCAGCATCCTCCTCTGTGGTCTTCCTCTTTTCCAACTTCATCATCCTTTGTTCAATATTATCTCCTCTACCCCCGAGTAGAGATGTTCAGAACATCTCAGCATGTCTTTGTTTTTATAACTGGTTATTGTAAACTGGCTGCACGTGTGGATGTGAGATTGTGTTTGTGTCAGCCTGCTCACCCTGTACTGATGCTCACACGAAGCCCTTTGTAATGCAGGGAAACAGGTTTATTTCCGCTGCTGGAGCCTCTAGTGGACATTAGAGGAACTGCATCTTATTATTATTATTATTACAGATTACGGAGATGATGGTGATGATGATGATGAGGATTATAATAATCTCTGTAATCTTATACACACAAGAATAGACTGAACTAGGATATTTATACATATATGTCCCAACTTTATCAAAGCAGCCTTTCAAAAAGTCTGATATTCAACATTTAAATGAATACTGAAACTTTTTAAAGCAGCCTGTCTTCGTCTCACTTCCCCGTTTCTTCCTCTCATGGTCTTCGTTACACAGAAACTTGTGGTTTGTGATGCAACTGAAACGGCACATTGTTCCTCTTTTCTTTTTTCTTGAAAGAGGAGAAATAAATACTTCTTCTTTTTTTACTTTTGTCTGGCAGCACACAGTTAACCTTTGACATCCATCAGGTCACTGGCGAACCACTGAGGGTTACGATTAGGTTTTTCTTTGGCCACATCTTAAAAAAGAAGAAACTAGAAGACGATATCTTCACATTCTCATATTAAACTTTGTGGTTTTCTGTCATGAGCCTGCTGTGTGGGAATATCAATAACAGGAAGCTGAACGTCCAGATTCAGGTGGTGGATAATAATTTATTACGGTGCCCACAGCCTGTGGGTTTTTTCCTGTTGCTCTCGGGTGGAGATGTGGCTGGTGTGTCCTTGCAGGTCGAGCTGTAGGTGGAGTCTTTTCTTGGGTCTTCTATGCCTGCTGTGCATTGTTGAATGATTTCTTGGTATTCAAGGACCGGCTGGTCCTGCTGCTGTCTCTATGATGGTGGTAAACACGCCTCCTTTCTAACTTTTTGTTCGTGTCTCTCTGTTCTTGTTTGCTCAGTCCGTTGGCTGAAGCCTGTCAGATATTCCCAACTTCTCTAACCTGCATCTCTACAAGAAGTTTAACTTACTGACTGTGTCTGTTTGACTCAGGCAGGTTGCAGAACTCACCTGCGACTCACCTGAAGTGCTGTCTGCTGCTCTTCTTCTATCCTAGTCAGGAACACAACAACTAAGACCTGAATCATATTGCAAAACCAACAAGGTCACGGATGTGTTTAAAGTCTCCTCTTCCCCCTCCAATACCACAAATATTTTTAATTGAAGCAGCCGTTATATTTGGATTAGGATGAGGTTATTTTTTGTAAACTACAGACTTCCATGAAATTTATAATGTGTTCAAAAAACAAAACAAAACACAAGTGTGGATGCAAACTGTTTTCAGCTGAGAGAAGCAGAACATCAAATAAGCTCAGGCCAGAAGAGACTCAAACTACCAACCTCAGCTCCGGAGGTCCAGTTTACATCTCACGTCACAGGTTTCCAGTGATGACATCAGCAGGCAGAGAGGTGATGGTCAGATCCAAGGAACTTCAGCGAAACATGGGTACATATCTGGGAACTGTTATAAATTAAAATATAATCCAAGTGCCTGTTTGCTAAGTATATTATATATTAAAGTAGGTGTGGGTAGGTGTACTTCCATGGTACATTAGTTCCTGTATGGCACTGTCATTAAAGCTGTTCTTCTTAATTATTAATAACTTTGTAAAAAACACTTAAACTAAAATATTCTGTTTGCAAACTGAATTACTCACTTAACTGTTCGAAGTGCTGTAAAAACATAAACCTGCATACGATTTTGACTTCCTCGCATTGCAACGTGAACTTCTGCACCTGCAGTTTCTTCTTCATGTTTTGTTTTTGAAAATATTCTTAAGGGACTCAGATTAGAGCAGAAACAACTCAAACAAGCATCATCAGGCAGACGGTGGATAAGTAAACATGGAGTGTGACTAAATGAAAATAAAAAAAGCTGCAAAGGTTAGTCGTGATACAAATGAAAAGGTTAAAACAACCTCACAAAGACAGAAAACCTGAGTCCTTCTTGAAGTAAAGGAGCTCCACCCATGTGTGACTGCTTGTTTACGGTAACTATTTCTTACTTCCTCTTTTTAATCACTTCACTGAAAGTTGTGTCAAATAGATTTAGAGAACCAGCAGCTGCTTCCTCTTTCTGTTACATAATCACTGAAGTGATGCTCGACTACCGCTGAAAAAATATTCGGTGTATTTGGTCTGTTTAGCCTCCAAACTACAAAAGATATCATTGTTTATAAATTGTTTAATCATTTAAGTCCTTAAAAACACGTCTTAAACAACAATAGAGACACGAGGTCGAAGAAAGATACAGTTCATGCATGTTATCATAACACTGACACTTAAACACAAATTCACTCAGAGAGGCAGACTGATGCAGCAAAGCGATGTAGTATGATGTACAGCGTACACTGTAGTCACCCAGCAGTCTTAGGTTATGATGCACATGATGGTCAGTTGTCTTGTGTTAACTGACGAACTGAAGCAAAGGAGCGTGCTGTGTGTGCAACAGCATGACAAACATTACCTGTCCTTTTAGCAGCAAGCTAACTGGGTAAGGCTGTCACGGGTCTGCAGCTCCGTTTAGTTTGAAAGTGAGTTACAGGGCTTTCTGATATGCATATCCACATAATTATGGATTATTATAGTTGTGATATTTAACTATATTTAAATTTTCAAATATAACAAAATGCCGACTTTCAAGCAGTAACATTATTGTATCTCTGCAGTTTAAACATTAAATAAACTTTCTGCCTGCACAGAGTGGATAGTTAAACAGACTGAATCCTCATCAATACATTATTTTATATTTACTACTTTATATTTTTTTAAATTCGCATCCTTTGCTGTGAACTGTTCTATGACAGCTTTTAGCAGACTCATGTGGATCCATGCGCTTGTAGGAACTCGGACTAATGCAGCAGACAGCCGAGGTGTAAAAGGTGTTGCACTGATACTGTACTGATGTAGTGATAAAGACTGCAGAGCATCTTGTTTCCCTGAGATGACACCTTGTGTAAGCTCTCAAAGGGAGAGTTCAAAGGCTTCTAGAGATGCAGTGTGTAAGCCTGCCGTCTGATCTAGAGCAGTGGAGGCGTGTTCTTTATAGAGACGAATCACGCTCCATCTGCCAATCCGATGGATGAGTCTGGATTCGGTGGCTCCACACCGGGTGAGGTGTGTATTAATATCTTGTTACCACTTTCTGACTTTCTTTTGTTTGTGTATAATTATTTAAAAACGTAGGTTAAGCAGTTACTAGTTAAGCATTATTAGCTTATTCTCCACCTCACCACCTCTGATCTTAACTTAAATGACTGTAACACTAACCTAAAGACAAATTACATCAAATTGTAACATAAAAGAAAAAAGAATCTTAGATTTTACAGTCTTAGGTGGAGGAGTTTAAGTATCTCGTGTCTTGTTCGCGAGTAAGGGGAGATGGATCGGTGCTGCGGCTGCAGTGAAGAGAGAGCTGAGTGTAAAAGCAAAGATCTAGTTTACTGGTTGGTCTATGTCCCTACCCTCACCTCAGAAAATGAGATCATGGATACAAGCGGCGGAAATGTGCTTCCTCCAAAGGGTGGCTGGCCTCTCCCTTAGAGATGAGGCGAGGAGTTCGGCCATGCGGGACGGGCTCCACATTGAAAGGAGGCTAAGGATTCCTTCGGGCGCCTCCTGGGTGAGGTGTTCTGGGCATGTCCCACTGGGAGGAGGCCCCGGGGCAGACCCAGGACACGTTGGAGAGATTATCTCTCAGCTGGCCTGAGAATAACTTGGTGTTCCTCCGGATAAGGTGGAGGAGGTGGCTGGGGAGTGGGAGGTCTGGGTTTCTCTGGGTCTGGGCCCCTGTGACAAGGCTCCAGATAAGAAAATGGATGGAAGGATGAATCTTCAGATTTTGATGGAAGTGCTGCTTCATTTTGAACACTGTGAGAAATAAACTGTGCCACCAGCACAGGAGCTAAAGCTAGGCTATAGTAGAGTACAACGGATCACCTCCGGAGTGGCTCGCGTTAACTCGAGGCTCGGAGTAGATAACGTCACTGGTGTTACTGCAGGACGTGCTGTTGGCAGAGTCACTGCTCTTCTTGGAAAAAGTCACCACGGAGTAGGTGAGTTTGCTCGAGTCGTCTTCAGTCTGAAAAAAATAAAAAATAAAATTGTTTATTACAGGTAATGTTTTAAATTGATCTGAGACCATTTTCACAAAGTAGTCCAACACTTTGTGTTCACTGTAGTGTGGAAGCAGCCGTCACAAATATCAGAATATCAGCTCCTCTGTGTGCTGTGTTGTTAGAGGTCACAGGATCGGACCTTTGATCCAAGACCTGCTTACAGCATCCAGCATCCCCCCATCAGGTTATTGATCTGAAATAACGATCTGGATTCTTTAAACTTAGTTTGTGCTTTTCAACGTGACACTGATGATATCGTGTGTCTTCATATTTATCACAAGAAATGTGAATCTTTTCTCAGATACAACTGTTTGTTCCGTGAATACAGAAAGTGTTTTCTTACTTTGTGCTGAGAAGTGGCTGCAGTGACCAAGCTGTGGTCATCACTGGTTTCAACTCCGGACGGTTTGGTGTATTTGGCATGAGAGTCAGGAGGAGATCTGCTGTGTCTGCCCTCTGCTCGGATATTCTCATACACTGTGTTGGTCTACAGGAGAAGAAGAGGAAATCTAATATCAGCTGGTTTCACAAACATCGGTGCTGAGTCTACAAGTCCTTCAGCCTCACCTCTGTGACAGCATCGTGTTCAGTTCCCACAGGAGGATCTGAAAAACACATCAGTACAGTGTTTATACTGCAGTTAGGTACTCAGTCCGTCACACAGAGAGACAGAAAACCACTCATGCCCACATTCATGCTCACACGAATGATCAGAGACTGTAATTCAACCGAATATTCAAACTCTGTGATAAAAATCCATCCATCAGTTTGTCCAATTCAGGTTTGCAGAGGGCCCAGAGTGTATCCCTGCTACCACAGGGTGGAGGCGTGGTGCACCTTGCACAGGTCGTCAGCCTGTTGGACGGATAACTTGCAAACTCTGCACAGGAAGGCCAGATGGAGGATTCGAACACAGCTTACAACATGCAAAGAGATGTCTGACAAAATGTTCACTTTTCTGTGAAAACAGGAAGTTTGATGAGTGTGTCTGTCTGCGTGCTTCCTGCTGTCTCACCCTTTGGTTTAGAGGATCTGTTCTTGCAGAATATCAGCACTGACACTGATAACAGGATGATGATGAGAGCCAGAGTCAGACCCACAAATGGCACCACATCTGCAGCAGTTTGACAAGAACAAGTTATTTTAGACAAACACCTTCTGATGAGTGTGAGTACCAGCCCTTCACGTGGGCTGTAAAGGTAGCTGAGTGCACATGTACAGTATAGTTGTATGCAAGTTTCTTCCATGGAGAATTTGGTCAGACTGTCATGCTTTATGAGCATAAAACCCTGTCTACATGACATACTCACTTCTGATTGGTTCCTAGTGGCAGATAACAGCAAAATTATACAAATGATACAAATTCACAAGTATGGACTTCTATAAAATGTTCCGTCTCTCAAACCCAGTGGATGGACGCACCTGTAGATGCCGTCCTCTCAGACTGCTCAGTGGTTCCAGTGAAAGTTGATGGAGGTGTGGAGGCTGATGGGAGGACTGCTAAAGAAGTTCAGCCATATGTTTTTTTTTTCAGGTGTTTGAGGCGAACAACAGAAAACAACACATAGCAACAATTTGACACATAAACATCATGAAAAGACAAAAGGAAACCAAACGTTAGCAGCTGTCAGAGACAAATACAAATTTCCTTTAATTCTCCAGACTCATGAATGAATTTGTATAGAAACTCACCTTCTGTGACAGTAATCTCAAACTCTCTGTATGGATCAGTACTATAGGATCTGTCCAGGTAACATCTGTACCGTCCTGAGTCAGACTCCCTCAGCTGTTTAATGGTCACATACAGAATACCACTTGTACCAGATCCTTCTTCATATTCAGCGCTGTATCTGTGTCTCTGAGCTCTGACACCCTGAGTCTCAATTAAAATCCCATCTCTTTCACATTCTCCCCTGCAGAAGTACTTCCTCCTTCCAGGTTGTTTAAAGTAACATCCGACTGTGAGAGAGCTTCCAGTTTCTTTATTGAAGTGTTTCAGCTGAGCAGGATTGTTTCCATCCAGCAGTGCTGTTAAAGAGACAAACGATCAATAGTTACTATCTGTGCTGAAGATGATGCAGTCTGATCACAATAACTCCAGTTTGACCCACAGTTACACTGGGAGCTGCCCAGTTCAACCAGTCAGTGACTGGAGCAGTCAAAGACCTCCATCCTAAACATCAGTATGTGAGTGTGAGTACTGCTGGATTAACAAGAGCTGAGGAAATGAGAGCTGCCAGTGTTTCTGAGCGTGCCGTGTGGTCAGCTAGAATATTAGCTACAGCAGACTGCGCCTCAACATCACAGATGGTTCATGAAACAGCGATTTATTTGTGCTGCTGTGAAAACTCATTGACATCCTGCTCTTATATGATTTAGTGTTTGAGCTTGGTAAGAAGATTCTGCTGTTTCTATAACAGGAGGAGCACTTTTGTAAATGTACTGGCTCTTATGTGGCACTTTTTTACTTTATACAACTTTTCACATTCACACCAGCTCTTTTTTC